AAATAATTCTAAGAAATAAAACTTTTAAACTAAACTTTATTTTAAATATTTCTTAAATTAAAACAATATTATTAAGAATCTAACACTAAATTTAACTCTTAACTAGATTATTTATGATCCCTTAATACTAATTTCTAAAACTGTAATTGTATAAATTATTTATTTTTAAATCAAATAATATTAAATATTAACATGTATTGATTTTCTATTTGTATTTGTCATTTATTTTAGAAAACAATATTATTAATTAAATTATAATAATTATTAGGATTAAATATAAGCCACTTAAATGAATAAAATGAAACATTTTAAAAGATTAGTTTTAAACTTTTTGTTTAACCTATTATCTTATTTTCAATGTCAAACATTGTAATGATTATAAAAACACAATAATTCAAAAATCACTAAACTTTGCAAATATTATGGAGATTTCCAGAGTTCATATGAATACGGATATTATAATGTAAATGGAAAACTACTTCACGATATGACCATACTACATTATCAAGCAAATTAAATATTAAATCAAAATAAAACTTCATATTTATAATATTTGCATATACATTGACAGATTAGTATAAATAGAGCTCATATCTAACATATATTAGATATGAAACAAAATATTGTAAATTTATAAAGTATTTAAATGATTATTTATAATAGTTTTGTATCTCTTAAGACAAGTTCTTAATAAAAGCCGATATTATTATTATTAAACAATTAACAAATCTATAGAAGTATACTTTATAACTAAATTATTTTTAAAATTATTTTTAAAATTATTTAATCGTAATGAGAAGATATATTAAATTATTTATAATCTTGGTGTTTGTGGTGTTGATTAACTCATGGACGGCATTTGAGCCCTACCACCAATATTTTCAACCTATAATATTAAAACATTGACATGGATTATCTGGCAACTCTACGTTTTAGATAATTTACTAAACTGTTTAACTGAATATTTTATTATAATAGAAATATTTAATATTATATTATAGTCATACTTATTTTTTAAGCATTAAATTAAATATTTACTATTTAAAATACTAATCAAATGTTTTTACCTTATAATATTAATTGTAAGTAAATATTAAATAATAACAATAAAGAAATACTTTATAATAAAAGTTTTTAATTTTAAATATTTATTTTAAATTTGTGATTTATGAGACCATAATAAGGTATGATAAATAGAATTCAAAATATTAACCAGATTCTTTCTTAGATATTTGCTCTAGATAACATAGTAATTCTGGATAACTATTAAATTGTCATTATGAGTTTAAAATGTTCAAAATTATTGTTTTAAAATTAGAATTGTAAGGCTGTCCAAATTATATTACAAAATGTTGTGTAATAATTAAATAAATAAAATTTCTAAAAGTAAACTTATAATTATTTTAAAAATCATTTAATATTTCTATCGTATTGAATAATTTTAGTAATTACCCATACAGTATTTTAAAACAAGTAAAATTTAAAAATAATAACGAATAACTAATGCCAAAAAACAAGAAATTATTTACAAATTCATGAAATTATTTCAAAATATCGGATTATATTTTTATAATCATGTTTTAAAATTACGACAAATTATTTAATTAAAACAAAAAACTTAAACCCTTTAAGACTATAAATAGGGATAAACAGCTAACAAGTAGTCAACAGTTAAGTCAATTGAATCTTAACCATAAAAATCATTTTCAAGACTTCGATCGAAACCCTCTGTAATAATGAGACGATTTGTGGTATTGTTTTCATGGCTCGTGTTTGTGGTACTTATGGTCTATGGCCAGGAAGTTATGAAAGCGCCGTCTACTACCACCAAACAGCCAACCCCTATCCCACCACCGAAACGTGACCATGGTTCTGGCCCATTTAAACCCTCGATTACATAGTCAAGTATGGTCTAACGGTAACGGTGATGCCCTTTTTGTTAAGCATTTATTTTAATTTGTTAACTATAAATTATTTATATGTTTTATTACTTTAATAAAATGTTATTTTTATCGGGGCAATTTTTGTTGTAAACATTGAGACAGTAATAAATAAAATCTTAATTTTAATTTTAAATCAAATATTTGTGTTTGTGTTATCTTATTAAAATTATTGATAACAAACAGTATTTATAAATTGAATGAATAAATGGTGTCAAAAGTAATGATTTATTCATTTGATAACATTTTGAATATTATTCACAAAATGTTTGTTTGATAAATGTTTGAAAAATCTTGAAAAAAGATTTTTTTTTCGATGAAAAATATATAAACTATTTATTGTTTTTATAATTTTAGACTATATCATGAATTACCTAATTTTTTTTAAAAATATCATTCAGAATGTAAAATTACAAAAAATCATCTAGTTAAAACAAAAAATCAAACCTTTTTAAAACCTATAAATATGGATAAAACGCTTTCATGGCTCGTGATTGCGGTGCTTATGGTCCAGAAACAAGGGGTCGACGCCCAGAATGACACGACTGTCAAGCCTGAGTTACCGGCCAAGTGGTAAATGAACTATAAAGTGGACAGCCTACGATATCTATCGGTACTTTTGTAGTTTAGGGATGGCAATACCAGAATATTTTATTATTACAATATTTTTTTTAATTTTTGTTTTAATATCAAATAGATTTATTGCCAATATTATTGTTATTATTTTTTTATGTAGTAATTATGCTATTTATTTGGATTAATAAATAAATATTGGAATATAGTATGTATAATATGAGAATTTATTTATGGTATTATTATTATTCTTATCAAGAACAAAAATTATTATTTAAATGGTAATTGAATAATTAATTTTAAAATATAATCTTATAATCATTTATTATTCTATTGTACTAAAATAATGTATCTGGCTTATTGAGAGACATATAATATACGCAAATTAAAATTAAATATTTAATTAACTATAATGAAACAATTTAAAATGGCATGACATGTTTAAACATTTACACATAGACTCTATATAAATTCACTAACCACTAATAACATACACTAATTTATAAAATGGTCAGGCTAAATTTGGTTAAACAGTATTAAAAGGCTTACATTTTTCACTAGCTAATAAGCAGGACTATCCACTTGAATCTTAAATTTAAAATACTTAATAAAAAATAAGTTAGTTATTTTTAAAGGTGTTTCTAGTTTTCACTAGATTATTTTAAATATTACGATCACAATCGCATTTGTATTTTAAGTTTTAAGTGACTTTTAATAATAAAATATTTAATTACAATAATTTTTTTAATTACCTTGTTAGTATTATCTATATATTTTAGTAAAAGGATTCTATGTAATAATCATTGTATCCCTTTCAATTACTAAATTTGATATAATTAATTAAATTTTATAGCAGTATCAAGGTTTTTGTCTAATAGAAAACATCGACACATTTAATTGGCTTACAATAAAGTTTGCTAACTGAAACTTTTTAAAATTGTTAAATTAAAATCATCAATAATACTTAAGACTTTAGTTTGAAGGTAACTAGGAGATTTTTGCTCCGAGTCTAGCCTTTTTAATTTAGTCTGCTTTAAAGGCTTACAACTTCAACGTAAGTGCAGACTTAAAGTAAGACAAAATAATCAGGGATACACTGAATTAATCCTGATACCTACAAAACAAGCTTAACAACATTAGAAAAATATTTATATTACATCCCAATTACGCCCCAAACCGGGAGCGGTTTGGGGGCTGATCTCGAGGCTGATTCAGTGCCTCCTAATAAGTGCTCTTCAGTTAGCCGTTTGAAAGCTGACGGATATTTTTGGTGCAAATCATGGGCTGCGGTTGAAAAGCACTCCAATTTAGCCGTTTTGATCCTTTCGCACACATATAATGGCTGTTTTATATCAATCATTTGATCCTGAAATAAATGGATTCAATTATTTCATATTTATAAGTTTTGACAATGCTTTTAAGTGCACGAGTACTGGTAGTATGGCGTCAACATTTTCATCATTGTATAGGTTTTAACTCTTATATAGACTAATTGCTGCGTTTGACAATACAATTGATTTGAGAAATAGCCTAGAGCATTAATTATAATAATCGGCATTTATTAAATCATCGGAATAATATTATCAATATACAATATATTGATAATATTATATGATATGCTAATTACACAGTAATGTCACATTCTTGTACATCAACTTTTCATCCAGTACATAAAATAGGTTTGTCATAAAAACATGAGACATAATGACAGATAGCATACCCTCTGTCCGTGCATCACAAGGACTGGACATCGAATCAAATGGTATTTATCTTTATAGATATCTTCGGGAAAGTATTGGTTATAGTATTCAACGTATTTCGCGAATCGGGTCCAAAGGGTCTGAATCTCGGCTTTCGTCTCATAGCATCTCAAATAGCAATCAATCCTATCTTTACTCCAACTCTCGATGTCTTGGGTTGTCTTAAAGAAACTGATGGCACTGTCCGTTAGGTATGTGGAGATGGCGGTCACCACAACTGATTCAACACATGCCGAGTACTTAATGGCCATCAAAAGGGCCACTTTTGCGCCGTCAGACCAACCGATTATTGAATACTTTTGAAACCCCAAACTCTGGTCAAGTATAGTAAACGAGTCCTAAGTATCCGGGACATGAGGTGCACTATTGAATAAACCAAACCTCCATAACTGCGTGAAAACACTGGGCGTCGTTATTGTATACATTGACCCCGAACTGCCTGACCGGGGGTCGGGATCGTCCCCATCCCGGCGCCTCCACCGCTATTATTGTGAACTTTTTAAAGTCGAGCGCATAATCCTCTTCGAGTTGTGGCAGGAAGTCGGTCCTACCGGTGCCTGATTTATATTACTTAATATGAGTACTTAATACAGTATAGGGTAGTAGTGAAGTAACAAACTGTTTTGCATTCACATACCAATACCACCCGGTATTAGAAGTACTGGTTTTGGTCCCCAACCAAACTTTTCATACCAAATGGGACAACCATTTACTTCCACATACGAACTCATGGATTCACTTTCGTTCATAAATTCCTAAATAGTACATAGGGCATTTTCATACAGTATTAAGAATTATTATATTATTTGAATAAAATGATACATTTTAGTTTGTGAAATTGTAGTGGACATTCATTTGATATAAAGTTTATTTAATATTAATTTTACTAAATATTAATATATTTATATTATAATATATTTATATAACAGTATATTTATCACTTTGAGGTGAATATAATAAGACATTAGAAATGTTGTCATGTAATAAGTTATAATTGACATGTTAGTGGTCTTATCATAAAGTAAGCAAGGAATAAAAATTTAAAAGCAATTATACCTTAATTATATTTGATGACATTTGACAGCAATTCTGTTTTATATAAACATTTTTTAAAGTAATATAAATTATTTTCTATTATTATTATAAATCAAATATAAATAAAAAACATACCGATATTTTTACTCAAATAAGTAATAAGACAATTATATTTAAACACTTATTTCCAGAAAACACAAAAAAATTATAAAATTATAATTAAAAGTTTAAATTAAATCACAATTTAAATACAAAGTCAATGATGCGAAAATACTCATAAATTTGTTACTTTGCTTACAATAAAGTTTACAAACTAACACTTTTATAAACGCTTTATAAAACAAATCAATAATCATAAACTATTTAACTAGAACACTTTATTATGGGTCAATTCATTGCTGGGAGTCTGCGTTTGAAATATTATAAATAGAAATATATTATATAATATTAATACTTAAGACCGTAGTTTGAAACGTCAGATTTGGATCAAATGATATAAGCCTAAACTTTCCATGAGTCTGAGAGGTCTGGTCATATACCTGTAATACAGGTCCTGTATGTAATTGTATTAAATAATACAGGCGCTCAAATGCGGTCATTTCTTGAAATACAAAAAAAAATCTGCGAATTCACAAAAGAAATACACAAAAAACAAACAAGTTTTGCATTCATTTCTATTATGTTTACCAAATCAAAGGAAACTTTTCAAACTTATTAAATGTTATTCAAATAGGTACAATCCAATTGAAAATATAATTTTTCATTTACTATTGTAATATTATGTAAACAATTACGAAAATAAGGAAATCAAATTCATTCAAATACCGTACATTCAAATACGAAATATAATTTTAAAATTAAATTTTCGTTATGCTCTTAATTATTTTATACGATAAATAGGTAATACAACCGCAAAAATACATTAAATAATATTATTTTTGTCAATTTTAAATATTACAAAAAAGTTATTGACTAATATTAAAAATATAAATTGTAACACACGAGTGTTATTAAAGATACTGCCATTTAATAAAGTAGATAGACCCAGAGCCGTTTGATTTAACATGTTACTAGTTATTTTAATTGTTTATATTGATTTATTTAAATTTTAACGCTAAATTCTAACATTTTAAATGTTGTATCATGTAATTTAAGATTTTATTTCACCATATTAATAAATATTATTTTAGTTTATTTGTATTATTTAAGTAAGTTTTTATAATGTAATGATTATTTTATCCCTTTAAATTACTAAATATGAAACAATTAATTAAATTTTATAGCAGTAGTTTTAATTTATGTATGTAATTAGTTCTAAACTATAATTAAATAAAATTCAATTTTTGTTTAATTTATACTTTGCATAATTTATTAATATTTGTGTTATTACAAATACTGTATATAATAAGTAGCTATTTTAGCAACAATTTTATAATAACATATTTTTAATTAATTTATTTTTAATAAATACAATATTTTCATATCAAATTACAGAATTTCATTATTTAATTTTAATTTTAGAAAATATAAAATTTAAAGAAATGTAACAATTTGCAAAATCATTATTTTATTTCATAAACATTATAAAAAAATATAAAAAATTATTGCACTAATCCGCGAGCAACCGTTATTATCATGCATATTTTAAGATGATATTTACATATTAACACACCCTGACCCTTTTAATGCGAAATCATTTCATCGGGACAGGTATGGTATATAAATAAGCCATAGTGTATACCTGTCTCATTACACATTAATCCCTCAATTTAAGTCATATTGAAAACCACTGATAATAATGAAGAGATTTGTGATATTATTTTCATGCGTTTTATTGGCAATACTTATGGCTCACAACCAGTTAGTATTGGGAGCGCCGGCTACTACTACAACCAAACGGTCCGATACGACAACCAAACGGTCTGATACGACAACCACGGAGTCATACGATTCATCACCGGATGGTGGAGTGGTATGTGTCGGTGGGAACGGTGGTAATGCTGGTCCTAATGGTGGAGGTGGTGGCGGCGGTGGATCCCAGTGTTAATTGTAATAGACCCAGAGCGTTTCAATTAACGTGTTACTAAACATGTAGTTATTTTAATTTTTGCATAGTATTATTTAAATATTAATGTTAAATTCTAACATTTAAATGTTTATCATGTAATTTATAATTTTATTTTTACCATATTAATAAATATTGTATTAGTTTATCTATATTATTTAATTAATTTTTTATTTTAATCTCTCTCTCTCTCTCTCTCTCTCTCTCCCCTCCCCATGTCTTTCTGCAATAATTAAGTTAAGACTTGAGATATTTGGCATCTCGTGATGTGATGTCTATCGTCTATCCTGTGCTGTGCTGTTAT